CTGCATGGCTTTGAGGTGTTTAACCTTCCTTATGAGAGTGGAGTGTTCAGCAGCTTCCTAGTTTGGACTCTAATTGACAGAATATACTTGTAACTCTGCATTTAATCATGGTTGCTGATTGGAGTAATTTAATCAAGGAATGATTGGGGTAATTTGGAATAGGCCCCACTGGTGAATGTCAGTAGTTAAGACGGATTGCCCAGTGGAAACAATAGCTAGTAAAAGACTGGGTAGAGGGTAGGCAATAAATAATTCCCATGTTGTCCAGCACAGGACACTCTAGCTTTGTTCACTGGCAGTGCCCTCTCGACTTCTCGTGATGGTAAGAACACCACAGCCTCAAAATATTCGTGGACAGGGTAAGCAGTGAGGGGAGCAAGCTTGCTGGTAATGCTACATTATTCAGATCATTGAGGAAAGGACAGACTGAAGAATTCTGGAAGGGCCTTGTGAGGCTGAGGTTCTGGACAATAAAATCGGAAATAATGTATACTCTAGGTTTACACACAGTGATGTGCATAGGGACAAAAGCGATCAGAACTTCACCTGTGAAATTACTAACTTTGAGCTGACCTGTACTGTTCAAGAGCAGGAAGCTGATATATAACTTGATGAAAGCTTCGTTTCAGTGCTCAGAAGTGGTCAGATATGTAAATCAAGAATTAGGAATGATTAGGAAAGGCATAGACGATAAAACAGTGAACATTGCCACATTGTGGCACAAGTCCACAGTTTCCCTTCACCTGTGCAGTTCTGGTCCTCTCATCTCAAAGAGGATATAATAAACATGGAAAAGGATCAGGGAGGAGCAGCAAGGATAAGCAAAGGTAAGGAATGCCTTTGACTTGAAGAATGACTGCAAGACTAGAAGCCTGTAGGCAGGAAAAGAGACAACTTGCCAGGAATATGATGCAGGTCTCTAGGCTCAGGAGTGGCATGGAGAGGTATGGATAGGGGTCAGTCATTCAGTGTCTTTTCCAAGACAAGAACATTAAACAAAGCTAGTAGCAGTCAGGTTCAGAGCAAAAGGAGGTGGTTCTTCGTAGAGTTTGTAGCAGACCTGGGAAAATTGTGCCTAAAAGATGTTGTGGATGCCAGAACTCTCTCTGGGCTCAAGAAGAAACTGAAGAAGTGCCTGGAGAAGAAGTCCATTGAAGAACCTAAATACGGAGAAACCCCATCCGGCTCAGAAAATCCCCTGACCTGAAAATAGTTGCAGACAGGGAGAGTACAGAGAAGGAAGTATCATATATGCTTGTCTTGTTCTTTCTCTTCCCTCAGTATCCATTTGTGGCCACTGTCAAAATCCAGATACTGGGCTTGGGGACCTTTGATTTGACACAGTACAGGTGTTCTTGTGAAACTGGTACTTCTGTAAAGTGCCCAGCAGGAAAGGTCTGCAGCAGCCCCTCTGAGCTCCCCAGCAGCAGATCCCTGTGGCAGGGCTGTGGCTATTTGCAGCACCATTACCTAGCGTGCTCTACACCATGTCCTCCTCTGCCTTGTTTATGCAGTCTGCGCTTTCTTCCAAATGTTTGCATAAATTACCTGTTAAATTATAGAAGTATTTTTTTTTCTTGTAATAAAAAACTGGTGATAGGTATGGTGTTTGAAAATGAGCAGAGATACATAGACCCATTGGACTTAGTTGTTATGGAAAAGGAGGGAGGTTGTTTTGTTTGTTTTTTTTTTTCATTTTTGAAAGCTTTGGGTGCCATCTGCTGGGTTCAGTAGGACCTTACACACGGGAGCAAAATTGCTAGCTGCTGGTTGAAAAGTGCTTGAAGAATTTAATTTACCTGGGGTTGCAGTCTCTTTGTTTGCACCTCCTGGTTCTCTTGGCATTGATGGTGATAACCTTAACTCATGTCTGTGGGCTGTACTGTGCCACACAAACACCTGCTTACGGTTTGCTTTCAATAATAGCATTCAGACTGAATTCTCTAATGGTTTTCTCTGTGTTTGGTCACGTAATGGAGAAGAGGTGGGAGGAAAGGAGCAGCTGGCATAGTGTCCTGGTCATGTGTTACAGTAGCAGAGCGTGCTCTGAGCAGCATTCAGGCTGTCCAAAGCTGCCAGAGACAGGGACAGGCAGACGCTGGGGAGCTGGAGAAGGCTGTTTGTCCGGGTTAGTGCCTCTGGTATGTGCCACAGGTGTATAGCAGCAGGGTACGGCTCTGTGTGAGGGGCTGTGTGAAGGGGTGGTGTGTGGGTGTGCCGGGTGGGTGAGGCACAGGTCCATGGGACAGGCATGGTGCCTGCTCTGCAGTTAAGGCACCTGGTGACAGCCAGCTGGCATCTGTGGGCTTGCAATGTGAGATGTGCCTAGCTCTCACTTTGGGAGTGCCCAAGAGCAAGGTAAGAGACTAAGGTAGCCATGGGCCCTTCCAGAGCGCTGAAGCAGACTTTGTGCATTCACAGTCCAGGGGAGATGGCCAGCTGTGTGTTTGGAGGAAAATGGCGAACAGTGTGACCTGTGTGAGCAGCTGAGTTCAAACACGCAGGGAGCTGTAACAGAGTTACCCACAGCACTGCCTTGGGACACATCTGTCACTGTGAGACCCCTCAAGAGTAATAGCCCTTTGGTTTTTAATTCCTCACAATTACCTCCCTGGTGTGTTCACTCTCACTCCGTAACTCGATGATGCAGGGCTTTGGCAGCAATACTGGCTTGCACAGTCCCATCATCTCACCCATCCCTTGCTACTTGTTCTCTCCCCAAGCCACAGTGCCCCTTATCCCCATGCCGTATGTGAGGCTGTGCTGTGTACTACTGGGTTTAAAAATATAAACCAAAGCTACAGCATGATGAACTGGGTTATATTTAACCCAGACCAGTTCCTTTTTTCAAATCACAATGTGGCCTCATTGGGTCAGCACAAGCAAGGCAAGCCTGGTGTCTGCAGCGCTGAGGGGGGAGCAGGGGACATGTGCCTGAGAAGCAAGACCTCTGTATTCAGCTCTGCTTTTGGACCCCTGGATCATTCAGCTGTGGCCAGGGTTTGGCGTCCGCACCGGGGATGGCCCAGCCACCAGCAGGCATCTACGAGGAGACATTTGGCACCTACGTCAGCCCTGGGCTGGTAGGCTGCTCCAGCGCTCTGCACTGCGAGGGGTCCTTCTGAGCTCCCCACATCCAGCACTGCGCTGCTTTGGGCGCTCCACAATGTGCATAAAACCAGGGTCCTTGCTGCTAGGTGGAGGTATGCTTTGAATTTTCAACTGCACAGGCCAAATCCTTGGAGCACATTTGGCTGCTCTTTTGTGCATTCACAAGACTTCACTAACTGTGCACCTGTAATTTGTAAGAACAGAAATAGAAATGAACACATAAATGAGGGATAATGAAGCCTTTTCCTTTGGTTTCATTCTTTTCCTTGCATATCAAGAGATGTCAGTGTATTATTCCATCCAAGACACAGAATCACAGAATAGAATTACAGAATGTTCGGGGTTGGCAGGGACCTCTGTGGGTCATCCAGTCCAACCGCCCTGCCGAAGCAGGATCACCTACAGCAGGCCGCACAGGACCCCGTCCAGGCGGGTCTTGAATATCTCCAGAGAAGGAGACTCCACAACCTCCCTGGGCAGCCTGTTCCAGTGCTCCGTCACCCTCAGAGGGAAGAAGTTCTTCCTCCGGTTCAGACGGAACTTCCTGTGCCTCAGTTTGTGCCCATTGCCCCTTGTCCTGTCACTGGGCACCACTGAAAAGAGCTTGGCCCCATCCTCCTGACACCCACCCTTCAGATATTTATAAGCATTTATTAGGTCCCCTCGCAGCCTTCTCTTCTTCAGGCTGAACAAGCCCAGCTCCCCCAGCCTCTCCTCGTAGGGGAGATGCTCCAGTCCCCTCACCATCCTTGTAGCCCTCCGCTGGACTCTCTCCAGTAGCTCTTCATCCTTCTTGCTCCACCGCATCCCAGGATCCCATTGGCCTTCTTGGCAGCCAGGGCACACTGCTGGGTCATGGTCAACCTGCTGTTCACCAGCACTCCCAGGTCCCTCTCCACAGAGCTGCTCTCCAGCAGGTCCACCCCTGGCCTGTACTGGTGCATGGGGTTGTTCCTCCCCAGGTGCAGGACCCTGCACTTGCCCTTGTTGAATCTCATCAGGTTCCTCTCTGCCCAACTTTCCAGCAGCTTTCTCTGCTCTAGCAGGGGAACCAAATTCCTTCAGTGTCTTAGAGAGGATGGTTAGTCCTCTGAACAGTAGGCAGCCTGGCATTTTGGTGATCTTTGAGTTGCAATGGTACGTCGCCACATACCAGTACTACGTTGATCAGTAAGGAGAAGAGATCCTAAATTTTGTCCAAAAGAACAAAAAAGTTTTAAAAATTGTAAAGGTTTCTGGTGCAGATGAATGAAAAAGATTACTTCTGATGGTGTTGCATTTTGAACGATCCTCTGTCTAGAACGCATGGCAGTTTTACATAACCGTTGGCAAACAACAGCAAGAGTAAAGCAGAATAAAAATGTGTAGGAAGAAAGCCAGAACTTGGCCCAGAGAAAAACAGTCAGTTAGAAGGAAAAATCTGTTCCAGCTGAGAGTTTATGCTTAAGGAAATTTAACAAACTCTTTGAAAACTAATTTAGTTCAGTGTTCAGTCTGGATGCCTTACGTATGACAAACCACAATGAGAAACAGACTTCCTTCCAGTGTTTGTACAGTGAGCGTTAGACCTTGAACCATAGCATTTGTAGACTTCATTGAACTCTAGATCAGTATTAGCTTTCTGTAGCCCTTGAATTCGTATTACAATGCGTTCAAATTATTTCAAGCAAATGCTGCCAGTGGCAACTCATAGGTAGTTTATAATCACCATGTTTTTTATATTTTCTTATACTCTGGTTTTGCTGTTTCTTGGTTTTTTTTTCATATCATCTTCATGTTAACGTGATGCCTATAGGCAGTGTTCACACCGAGGTCACTGTGTGGTGCCTTCATACTTTTGTATAGTGATCCGATTTCTGTGTCTTATTTTATGAATTAATATCTTTCAGCACCCCCAGATTCAAAAGGAGTCACAATACATCAAGTACTTATGCTGCGATGATCAAGCCACCCTGCATCAGTGGGTAACAGGAATTAGAATTGCCAAGGTGAGATTAAAAGTAAATTTAGTTAAAGATGTTTTCCGTAAAACCCTGTCTTCCTCAGGTTACTGACTGTCATCACCTCAACTGGAAATATCGTGACAAGAATGAACATTTATGTGAATTTTACTGTAGAAAGAAGGAGTGAAAGGGCATGACCAGGATGGATTTTCTGAATGTTCCTGTATCCTAGTTATCAGTGTGTTTTTCTCAGGGGTGAATTCTGTAGCGACAAAACTCATGTACTTATAAAACTTAGGCTACAGTTATCTGGCACAATAATACACTGTGGCTAAAGATGTGCAAGCGCTGGTCAGTCCAGCTGTTACGTTTTTGAGACAGTTCTGCCCAAATTGTCTGCCTCACCCTCTTCAAAAAGATCCTGATTCACAGGCCATTTTGATTTGCACAAAACATTAAGGCAGATGGATTTATACGTAGCCCAGTATACTGGCTGGACCTGGCCATACAGACCTGCTCCTGTTAGGTATATATTCTTTTCTGCCAGTTCTGCTGCAGGGTGACATCCATCAAAGGTGCAGGGTGAACACCAAATTAATTTGTGTCTTACACTGACAGAGCTGTTTGCTCTGGAGCCCAGGACTTGTACCAAGTCTCCAGTCTGAAAATGCAATACTTGGAAAGCATGGGAAAATATATATTCATTGAGAACAGTTGGTTTTAAAGCCAAGTTTCAAGAAGTTTACAGATACTGAAACAAACATAAAATGTGAGAATGATATCAGTAGGACTGTGTTCGGTCACTGGGATTCATGTTTTATTGTGTTGGTATGGAGACGCTTTCCACCTGGCCCTATACAGAAACGGGCACACCCCATGTAAAAGGTGCTTTTTAACAAGACGGAGTTGGAAGGCATGGGGTCAGAAAAGTTGTCCGAGAGCAAAATGAATGCTTGGCCTAGGTCAAGCTTAACACCATGCTTATTGTTTTGATTGTTTTGCAGTATGGCAAGATGCTATATGATAACTACAAATGTGCAGTGAAGAAAGCTGGCTTGTCCTCTCGGTGGGCAAATCAAGGAATGGTGGAACCAGCTGCCCCTGCAGGATCCTTATCAGCAGGTACTGATGCTGTCACAGCAGTTGAAATCACATTTATTGCCCTCTTCTGCCATCATCAATGTTGCACACAGTCTTTGTTCGGAAAACTATCGCACTGATTCAGCAAGATAGTATCTTGTTCTAGACAGCCCAGTGTAGCTCTGATCTATAGCTAGGCTAGCAGCAGAGCTCTCACTTTATAGTTAGAACTTGAAGAATACAGAGACAGCCCACCAAAGGTCAGTTTAAATCTGCATAATTTAGTAAGATATTTTTCTGTTGGCATCTGAGTGCAAATCTTTTATCCTCCCCCTACATTTTACGGACTGATGGTCCACGTCTTGAAGTTTTCTGTTTGCCCATCTCTACACTAGCTGTATCGGAGCTTTTCCTCTGATGAGTAAAAGGGATGCGTGGGATACTCTGAGAACGCTCATTTCAGAAAGAGGTTATTATAAGGTCAGCCACTCATTTCCTAGCCTGTCACTCATTTGCGTAACAGCAATGTGGGTGTTAGAAGAAGGATACAGAGGAAGAAAGGATTGGGTTATTCTCTAACATTGCTTTTCCAGTAGCTATACTGTTGTTACCTATTTTATCATTGTACAGATACAACAGTGCGTGATACTAGCTGTAACTTGCATGAATGTTTTTAGTTTACATGCTTAAGATACACTTTATTAGGAAGGACATGCTGGCCCAATACTTCGTGTCATAAGACATGCAAAGTCAAAGTCAGTGGTGGCAGTTAGTATTCTGACTTCTCATGTAGACAACTCAAAATCCTCCAAACACCTTTCCAAGGCTTCAGTTTTCTTTTTCTCAGTACATGTGACAAGAGAGTGGTCTTTCTACTGTTCGTTGGAGTCAAATCATGGTAATAAATGCACATTTGGGGTGGGGAGACCCAGTAACAGACTGTTTCGAGATCAGGATTTTCTGATGGTTGTGCGGGAGGTGGATGGGACAGTCGTGGAGCATTTTGTGTTCTGGTGCTGATGGCAGTGAAGAGGTGGCTGGCCAGTGGGGCTGCATGCTGGTGCTGCAGTCTGTACTGGCGGTGGGCAGGACTGAGGCCTTGTAAAGTGTATGTACATCTGTATAACTTCAGCTCCTGACTAGAACCCAGGAACACTACGTGTGATCATAAAATATGCTGTTAACCTTTACTAATGGATCCCATTAAATGGTTAAGTAGCCTGGAAAGATTTTAGGCATGTATGTTGTCTCTGTGGAAATATCTCTGAAGGATCACTGGTATTCTCACTGAGGCAAGTCACTGATTCTTGCTGTCTCACAGTTATCGTTACTGCCTGAAATAAAACCTGGGGCCTGACTATAGTACTATAGCCTGAACTGCCTGACAGTGAGCAGTTGTTGGCTCATGTTTTGGAAATGGAACAAAGCATGTTTTCTTCTGTTCCGTTTTCAAATGGCTGTACGGCCATTTGTATGGGCTGATTTCAGTATAGGCTAAAATCTGCTATTGAAAACTGCAGTCCTGTGTGAGCTTAGCAGGGGGCTGTGCTCCATTAACTTGAGTGGCAGCCAAAAGCAACGCTGAGGAAGGCAGGTGGGACTTCTGTTCTCACACCTCATGTAGCCTGTATTCCCGGTCATGCTGCTCTGGTCCGCATTTGTGTCTTCGTGTATACCCTGAGCTGTGTAGTATGTGGTTCTGAAGTGCTCCAAGTGCCAGGCACATCTTGGGAAAAATACGGTGCTTGCCTCTCTCCCTCATTATGTGTGTCTTTGGACGCTAAAAACAGTGTATGTTGTGTGCCAGCACAATATCATGTTGTTTAAAGGATGAAGGATGTTGCTTTATTCAGATATTCTGTATCACTACAAGGTTCAGTATTTTGCATTATATGTTTTGGGTATCTGTATTTTGCATTATACTTGGACTACTTTTTTTTTTTTTTGCTTAAAACATTAATTCAACATAAAATTTTTGAGAAATTGACTTGCAAAGAATACTATAACATTTAAATTAAAAATAAATCTTGAGGATGGAATGTATGAACTCACATACTAGATTGACTGGGAGTCAGTTAGCTGGCTGACTTTGTGTATAGCATGTGTGCAGGGATATGGCAGGAGCTGATATATCAAACGTTGCTTTCAAGTCTTGCATAGTTTATGAAATCCATTGACAGAAGAAGAAACAGATTGCCATTCAGCCATGTCCTAACTTTCTGGCATATCATATTTGCCAAGTAGACCACTATACTTCGCACCTACATAGAGTGGATCTCTCTCTGCTCTCTTTCATTTAGTTAAATCTCAGCGTAACTGAGGGCAGCAACGTCTCCGAGCAGTGTGAAGCCCAAACTCTTGCTCTGCTATGGACAGCAGACGAAGTGAGGACAATAACTTGCTCCCCGTGAGGGCGTGGCCACAGAACCCAGGAGTTACGTCTCTCTCCTCTGAGCACTTACAGCCAGAAGACTGGTTTTATCTCTTTACTGAGCTTACATGTTAGTCCTTCAACAAACACAGACTGTAGTTTGAATGATCAAAATGGTACTTTGGATTAAATATGCTGAATGACATGCAGGCACAGGCGTAAAACACAACGACTTCAGACCATCTTCTGTCATCCCTTGAAGCCTAAATAGCCCTAGTAAATTCAGTACACTGCAGAGTTTGAATTCTCTGTCAGTTCTGTGTTTTGCAGGCATGGCAATAAAAGTAATTTATTCTATTTGTTATCATCTTCATGGAACCTCTATGCTAATCAGAAAAGTACATGTTAAGATTAAAAGCATTGTTGTGCTTAGGCTTACATTGTAGATAGCTAATGCTTCACTAGCATCCAAGAAGTACATGAGTAGAACTTTACTGGATCTCTGAACTGTAAATTAGAATAGAGCTAAGGCAGTCATAAAGATTTACACAAGTATGTATGTAGGCAGAAAATACTACCTACTACTTTGACATGCACAGCTTCCAAAAATCCTAGACTACACTGGGGAGTTTATTTAATCGTCATCGCACTATACAGGGGCTGGGGATTTTTTCCTAATTAAAACCCACAAATTCGTCCTTTGGTCTCACGTTCATTTAGTCCATTATGGCAGTACCGAGTTGTTTGTGTATATCCCTTACAAACACAGTAATGGTGGACAAACGTTTTGCAGAGCTTTAACTTAGTCAACTAGCAGATCTTCACTAATCTGAGAATACAGTGAGGTTCACAAATCTTCTGTGCATCCAGAGGGGGGGGGAAGTTTCAGAGCTGTTAGCTCATTTACTAAAGAAAATGGATCAGCCCTCTGCAAGATTTCAAACCTTCAGTTCTCATGGCTGTTACTGATATGAAACTACAGCGCTTTAGTCTTTAGGCTAAAATAAAGGAAAAAAACATGCAATAAAAACTGAGAATGTAGTAACAGTACAGCACACTACAAACTTCAAAATGCTGTTATGAAAGACAGGTATTTAAACAAGGGAAGGCCAGAGGGTGGGCTTAAATACGCCAGCTTGATTTCTGCTTAGCTCCCCTTCCAAAGCCAGCCCCCCATCTCTATCCCCGTGTCAACCTTAATGGTCCCCTTCTATAATCATCATTTACACGAGTCAGAAGAAAAAGCTCTTCACTTGTTACTGCCTTTACACGCTCTGATAATTTCTGTCACGTGTCTTCATAATTCTGCCACTTGCACTTCCTGTAGGGTTGTCAGCTACAACTATGGAGGCACTTGGACAGATATTAGTTTTATTGTAAGGTATTATGCTTATTTTCCTTAGGTAATGAACTGAATATGAAAAGTCACAAAGTAAGCTGGACACAGAAAACAGGCATCCTCGTGGATTTTAGTGAATTATGTATAAAGCCTGTAATGAGTGGTTCCTTAGTGGAAGTTTTAAAGATGTTTTCATAGGGAAGTTGTAAAGATGTTTTTATAGCCTTATCCTTAGTTTGCTATTCCCTGATCTGGTAAATATCACAAAAACGTTAACAAACTCTTTTCCCTCTGTCTCCTCTCCTTGTCACAGGTGCTGTTCAGGCAAATGGACAGATTCCTCAAATCGTCCGTCGTGCCAGTGCGGAATTTCCAGAGACCCAGAAGAAAGTGGATGTATCAGAGGTACAGGTCAGCAGTTACTAGCAGTGCACTGGTTAAATGTTACCTGTGAACCAGTTCTCCAAGTTTGTTTTTCTTCCCCCACTGTCTTCTCCTCTCAAAGTGCCAGTGTACTGTTGTGACAAGTGCTTGGCTCCTGGGCAGAGTGTCTGGTTGCTTGCTGCCCCTCCTCGTGCTTCTCACACTGCAAACAGTGTGCCCGTCGCACAGAGGCAAGGAGGTGAAGGCACAGCCATCCGCCACTTTGGTTCTTCAGAACAAATAGGTGTGAGTTCACGTAGCAGAAATAGGAGTGTGCCAACTGGGACAGTCTCAAAGAGTCTGTGCTGCCAGAACCTGGGTGCTGTGTTCTGTCTCTGCCAGAAAACAGGGCTTGCCTTGGTAACACAAAGGGTACAGTAGTGTTTTCAGCAGGGAACACTGTGTGCAGCTGCATATGAGGGTGTAAGGAAGGAGAAAGTGTGAAGAAGTAAGGGAAAACATTACATGTTTTCATTAGGCTCTAAATGCATTCCTTGGTTAAGCTTCACATTTTGTCTACTTGCTCCATCTCTGGCTGTAAAAATACGAGTAGGGTACAGTATGAGGACTTAAGAAACACGCTGTGGAAAGAACCCTCTGCATTTGTTTGCAGTTCATTATTCAATGCCTCCACCGTGCATAAAGTGCACAGGACCAGTGAAATGAAATTCCTAGGATTTTTCTGTCACCTGCATTACGTGTCCTATGCTTCTTGTTTCTGTCTTTGAGTTCCTCCTTTAAAACGATCTGCTTCTCTGTTCTGAACCTCGCTTCCTCTGTGATAGATCACGTGCTCAGCGCTCAGCCTATGTCTTGCTCACTTCCATCCTTGTAGGCAAGGAGAGTGAGGAAGAGAAGGCAAGCGTGTTATACTTGGCTAATGCCGGAACTACTACTGCTGACTCTGGGCTTGTGGAGCACTTTTCTCTAGCAGAAGCGAATACGTTGCCACCTTCGTCTCACAGGTTCTGCAAGCCTGGGACCAAAGGATCAGGCTGACGTCTTTCAGGGTGCGCTGTGCTACCATTCGAGCACTAAGCTAGCTGGATCTAAACCGATAAATTAGCATAACTAGAAATGAATGTTTTACAAAGCTTTGTTTTCAGGACAGCAGACTTCTCCACTGGTTTACAAGAATAGATAGCATGTTTGTGTAGTAACTGTCAACAGCTACCAGTTGCTACCTGAAAAAAAAGAAGAGCAAATTATATTCAGATATCACCAAATGGGCTTTATTTATCTTCAGAGTGTCGACTAGCAAACACAATTTAAAAGAAAAGCCACCTAAAATTTTGTGAAAATAAACATCTCCATAATGAATTTCTATCCTACATTTTATTTTTCTTAACTTGTACGATGGATGCTGTGATTCATTTTTCCTTCAAAAATGTTGTCAGAGGGTTTGAACGTCCCATGTCCTTTTAAACATGGCTAGAACTTAGTGGCCTCAAGGGCCTGTTTCTCACACTATTGATTGGAAAGTGGAGGTGGCGTGTGCACGTGCCTTGCCCGGCAGGCAGAAGACACCCTTCCCCGGGCTTGTCAGTGGCCCTTGCCACGTCACTGGTGGAGCATCCTTCCCCTGCCACGCAGCGCAGAGCCGTGGCAGCTGGCTTCCCCCAGTGCCTCCCTTCGCAGCGCTCTGCGGTGCTGTCCCTCCCGCGCAGCGCTGCCCGGTGCACTACCTGCGGGTCAGCGCATGTCGCACCGTGCTGCAGAGTGCTGGGGACAGTGAGTCCAGACACACAGACCTTAAATTCCCAAATCTCTCCACCTTCTTCCCAGTTCACTGCTGTCGTGTCTAACAAGTTAGGCAGAGATAGGTGACTTCATTATTTGAGCTTTATCCAGAGATCCAGCAGTCGCAGCTAGAATGGGAGATGGAGATACAATGGGGACGAGAGCCAAAACTACATCTGCTTTTTATGTTCTCGAATCTTGCTCAGTACTTTTGGATGTAAAAACACAGCACTGATCTTTGTGTAAGTCTTCATATTCTCAGGGAGTGAACAGCAGGGTGCAACATCAAGAAAGTACCTTTATATGTCTTACTAACTGCAATTCTTTGAAATTTTAAAAGCACTCATTTTCACAGAATCACAGAATAGTAGGGGTTGGAAGGGACCTCTGTGGGTCATCTAGTCCAACCCCCC